ATCATGGTTTGAAAAGGCGGCGGCTATTGCCGATTTAGATTTGGATGACAGGTGATTTTGATTCTTTTTTTTTTGCCTTTCCTTACTCGTTAATAACTTTTTTCATCACTGATTTCGATCAAACATAAGCAGCACTTTTTAAATTATAAAAGAGGTAGAACGACAACTGTTGTGCCAGCTATGGGAAAAATGAAAGGGGTGAAAAAAGATTGCCGAAATTAATAGATGTTGAGTGGTGATGCTAATGAAACCTGTTTTCTGTTGTATCAATCACATATACAGCTGTGAACAGGACCAGTACTTTAGTAACGGTGTTTTGCTTTTTTTAATTTGTTGAACGTTTCTTGAATAGCTGAATTATTTTCAGTGCCTTCGGCCAGAACGATGATACTGCCAGTGCCAAAGAGGATTTAAAAAGAGAGAAAAAAGCGTTGTCTACGCTACTGAAACGCCTACTGTCACAGCCATTGCCTGCTAGTAACATTCATTTAAAGGTACGCCCTCATGAAACTGGCAAAAATGATTTTTTAATAATGTGCCAGTACGGTTCTCATCTGCTAATTTCAGAAGACTCGTTATGTAACTGCAGAAACAGCGTCAAACTACGACAGGTCAGTGACACGTAGTGCAATTGTATCACTGATGGAAAATGGTGAACATGAGAAAGTTCTGAAGAAAAAATGTCGCACCATCTCAGCGCGCTATCTTCAAAACATGAAAAACAGGAAGAAAAGAGGAAAAAGGCGATAGTAAAGATTGTCATTTGCTAAGTCAAAAAATGTTCATTGTATTTCGGTTACCAAGCCCAGTAAAATCAGTGGAGGATCCAGAGGAATTTAGGAAGACTATTATCATTGTGAAGGGGGAGTTGGTTTCTAATTACTGGTAGCAGCGAGTGGTTGGCGTGGAGTATCCTGTGGGTCCTAGTGATCGAGCTACACAAGTGTAAAACCTTACTAAATTATCCACAATTTTCAAACCCCCTAATACTTTCAAATCCTGTTTCGTAATATAAATCCTACAAATTCTAAATCTTATTTTTTTTAAGCAGATCCTTGATTGACAGGTCAAGGATCTGCTCTCTTTTTAATTCGCACATAAAT